GCAAAGCAAGCGTTACACCGGACTTGGCCGTCACGCGCGTGCAGACAGTCTCAGTGGCATCGTACGTTGTACCGGACGTGGCCGATATGGACGTATCGCGATTTTTATCTGGTTGGGACGACTTTTACTCCCGGCCTTTCTGGAACGCGACGACGAACGAACAAGCGGCCTGGAGTGAGACGACATGCGACCAACCGGACTGGAACGCGATGACGCAACCACGTGTGCGTGCGGCCTTACGCAAGACGATGGCCCTTGCAGCAAGGTTGAGGTGGGGTGTAGGATTATGGTGGTTAGTGGTTCTGGTTCTATGTGTTACACCGGCTCTTGCCGTAGATCCGGATGCACCAGCAAAGACAGACATGCCACACCCCATATCCCCGCCGATGTACCCTAACAAATCCGGTGGGACTTTGGGTATCAGGTTGCTAGCCCCCGGATTAGGACCCAAGACCTTGATTGTAATCCTAGCCGTTGCTGCAACAAGTGCCGCTGTATGCGGTATGGTGCCTGGTTTCAACGCTGGGCAAGCGGCCCGGCTCCCTCCAGCATGGGGACCAGAGATGCAGCAAACATATCCCTTCCGCCGTTGGATGCAGGATGTTCTGCTGTGGTCGGTAGCTTCCGATCTTGATGGCAGTCGTAAGGCGGCCCTCTTGATTATGCAATTGAAAGGCGGTGCTCAGGAGCTAGCTCGAGCTTATCCACCTCAGACATTGATTCAGGGCGGTCTGATTAATGGAGTTCAAGCTGATCCCCTGACCTATGTCATTCATGGTTTAGCTGAGAGGTTTGCGGCTTTGGGTGAGGAACTTAGGCTTGGGTCAATCACGGAGCTGCTATCATTCTCTAGAAACCATCACCAACACGAACGCATCGATGAAATCCTGGTGCGGTTTGACGTGGCCCGACAACGGGCACATGATGAAGGACAGCTGACGGTGTCCATCACTGGCCTAACCTGGCTACTGTTGCGAGCGGTTGGAGTAAGTGATGCTCAGTTGCTTCAGATTCTGACGCCTCTCGGCGGCAACTTTCCGCAGACAGAGCAGGAGCTGCAAGTGCTCAAACAGCAACTGCGCCGTATGGGACATGTGTTGGAAAACTCTCCCGGAAATATAGCTTCTGCTCTTCGGGGACCGCAAAACCATAGGGGATATTTTGCTGATGAGGCCGCAGACACACGCTTTTCATGCAAACCAGTCGGATTTCAACCCAGATGCCGGCCATGATCAGGGGTGGGCCGTGCCCGACAGTGGGTGGGGCGGCACATCATCTGTGCCAACACATGCTGCTTGGGATGCTGCAGATTCCGATAATTGGACAGACACCGAAACAGCTAGCTCTGTAGACGACCTGGAACCCGTAACATCCACTCCCGAAGGCAGCTCCGATCCCGCGGCCATCAGCGAGCATTTGTGGTGGGCCTACAACAAGGCCAAGCTGCAATGGCGCCAGCATCTTCGCAAACCCCCCCGGGCAGTGCGTAGATATGCTCGTAGATACATCAAAGGAAAGGGCAAAGGCAAAGGCTCAACCCGTCCCGATGCTAGAGCTTTTCTTTCAGAGCTAGCAGACGAAGACGTGCAGCAAGTGTTTAAGGGTGCTCGTAAAGGTAAGGGAAAGGGTTTCAGGCGCACCAAGGGCAAGGGGAAAGGACGAAGAACCAATCCTCGTGGTAAAGATGGTGCTGTTATGAGGTGCTTTAGATGCGGGTCCGAAACCCATTTATCTAAAGAGTGTCATCTGCCGAGAACCGATGGTGTTGCACCCCGACCTGAAGCGTCCGTTAATCGCACATTCTTGGTGGAGGAAACATCTGAAATCTCTGATCAGGGACCTCTGTCAGGGCTGGTGTTCATGGCCATGCCCGCCGGGGCTGGATCAGCTCACCCTGCTCAGGAAGCGCAGCCGAGCTCTGCAGCACAGAGTGACAGTTCATGGCAAATGCCCGACGGCGCGGGTACTAGCGCGCCAGACATAGATCCTTGGGCTGATTTCTTGAGAGCGCGAGCGCATGGTGCACCATATGTGCAGGCACAGCCACCTACCAGACCCTCTGGCACATTCTGTGGGCCAACTGCCGCTACTCCCCAGTACGAAGCTTCTGCACGGATGCCATCACAAACCCCTTTCCAGCCTCGACAGGAGAGTGAAGCGACGACTGGATCGGTCCAGCTGCGAGCCGCGCCCGCCACTCTGCCAGAGTTCGTAAACCTGCCTGCTCTCGGGTTCCTTCAGGATACGGTTGGACATAGAGACCCTCCACATGCCCCTCTGTTGCCAGCCGCCTGTTCCTCGAGCTTGGATCCCGGGAACCAGGTGTCGCTTGAACGTTTGATGCAGGCCACGGGCTTCGCAAATTCTCGATGGCTTGGGCAGGCAACCAGTTTCCATGCAGCGACTGTCTCAACGCATTCGGGTCTCAGTCGTGAACACCATGTGCTATTGCAGTCATTTCATGAAACGCAGCAAGCCAATGCAGCCCACCGTAGGCGTGCAGAGGAGGTGCGAGCGTCGAATAAGCGTGCAGGACGCCGATTGGTCGTACCATCAGCTCATGATCCTCAGCCATACGAGCAAGTGGATGCGCAGTGTGCCTTGTGTCAAGATGTGTTTCTGGAAGCCGACCTGGTGTTGCGTCTCATGTGCCGTCATCTGTTCCACGCCGAATGCTGGGGTAGGTATTTGGTCCATGAACATGCAGTAATGTCCTGCCCTGTGTGTCGTGGAAGCGCAAGAGTGGTGTCCAGGTTCACATATGTGCCCGAGGCGTCAGGTGATGATCATGCCGCACACGCGCCATCCGAGCCTGCTTCAGAAGCACAAGGATCCACAGGTACGCAAACTCCACCAGCACGAGGCCCTAGCACATACGACATCTACACCCCTCCGCGTAACGACAGACCCGATGCCGACTTGGAGCCAGGCCAAGAATCACCTTACCATCACTTTCCGTGGTGGCCTTCCCTCACTGCCGAAAACAATCCTGAGCAGGATGCAGTGTACCACACCACAACTGCCCATCCCAACTTCAATTCACTGTTGATCGATCCCGGTGCATACACCAACCTTGCAGGATTGAACTGGATACGCAGCATGGCTCAGGTGTGCCTCGACCAAGGCATGCACCCAGTTCAAAGCCGGTTGGCGCAGCCGATGCACATACAGGGAGTTGGGAGTGGATCTCAGCAATGCACTTGGACTGTCAAGTTGCCCATTGCATTGCAGAGCGTTGTTGACGGCCAGGAAAGCACGACAGTGCACGAGTTTGAAGCTCCAGTCGTAGGAGGCTCAGGTTCATCTCTTCCAGCACTTCTGGGCCTTAAAAGTTTGCGTGCCAAAGACGCCATACTCGTCCTATCGAGCAATGATGCTGAGCTTCGTCTCATACTGCCAGGCCCTGGAGGAGTGAACATTGAAGGATCCCCGGGCACGGTTGAGTATCCTCTTCTAACGGCTCCCTCAGGACATCTGCTGTTGCGCTGTGACTTTTTCGAAGAGCGCAAGGCAACGGCCCTGGGCGCCGCTGCATCAGTCTTCCCTGTCGCTGCGGAAAGTGACAGTGCAAAGAGAGCTCGACCCACACACATATCGCAGGGAACGGAGTTCGGACATGGTCTTCACGTGCAAAGGTCATCTGAAACAAATCCGACCACACCTGCGTCGAGCTCAAGCTCTATGCGACGACGGCGGACACATCCTGAGCCTGAGAGATCTCCGGCATCAAATTGATTTCTTCTTGTGTGGCCACGCTGCCCCTTGAAGAAGCCGAGGCCCTAGCAAAGACCATGCGCCAAGCCGAAAAGTTCACAGATGAGGATTGTTTTAGACTGCTTGAGAGCACCCCTTTCCGACAAAATCCTCATCCCCGTGATGCATGTAAATCAGTTGACCGAAGGGCAACTGGTAGTCACAGTTTTGGTTTGTTTGCGCATGGGAACTACTATGGTGTGACGACACGCACGGAGCGACATCCTCAACTGCTGCGCTACATCAATGCATGGTTACTCGTCCATGAGTTTGAGCCTCCGTGGAGTTCCTTGTGCGTTAATGACAACGTAAAGACCACCATGCACCGGGATGTCCATAACCAGTTGGGAACTGTGAACCAAACAATTGGCATCGGCCCTTTCCGCAACGGCGAGCTGTGGTTGCAACTGCCTGAAGCAGCAAGCTTGCAACGTTCCGATGTGGTGTATCAGACAGATGCTCACGGTCACAGGCTGCCAGGTCGGCTTGTGCCCATTAAGGGACGCCGACCGGTGTTTGCGCCGAAGCTGTGGCATGCCACCATGCCATGGACAGGGTCCCGTTGGGTCATCACTGCCTTTTTGAGCCGCGGTCATGAGATGGTCACAGCAGAGGCTTTGCAGTATGTGAGGGGTTTAGGGTTTCCGGTAAGTGGTCTATTGCAGACGCTTAAGCATCAACCTAGACCTCACCTGTTGCAATCGGTGGATGCCGAGCCTTGTGCCGTGTCCACCGGCCCATGTGGACAGACCAACAGCCTCCCAGCAATGCCATCTGTAGCGGTTGTGATTGAGGAGGTGCCCGCAGTGGCACCTATACTTCAGACAGCCGGCTATGTTGTAGAGCATCATTATCACAGCAGCGTCAATGCAGCCAGCACGGCCACACTTGGCCATCGCATCAAACAAGGAGAAATTGTGTTGCTTTGGACGGACTGGCCTCAGAAAGGCCGACATGTGAAGTCCGAGCGCATGAGTGCGCATGTACAGCAGCTCAGCTGCTGGTTCCAGCTTTGCCACGACCTTGATATCCCGTGTTTCCTGTTTGGTGCGTATGGCGGCCAGTGGCTGCATGAATCAATTCAGAGGTTGGTTGACCGTAATGTGTTAGTTAAGTCCCATCATAGACTGTGTAGTCTGAACTTAACAGTTGACCCGTCACTGACAACCCCCAGTCGCACCTGTTTTGTGCTGGCCTCCAATGTTAATGCGCCTGGCAATCCGTGCCGGTGCAATGTCTCGCAGGCCATGCACAAGCTCGACTGGACATCTTCGCAGATGCCTCACCAACGGCGTTTGCGCGCAGCTGCGCATTCATCCATGGCGCGTCATGTCGCTGCCTCGTGGGTGCGCGCTCGCTGCACACACCAATCCAGACAGAGCACACCCGACGCTCAGTCGAGATTCCTCTTCCCCCGATTAGCCCGAAATTTAAATGCCTCCTTCGCGTCGTCAACCGATGCTGCGACGGAGTCCATGTTGGCTCGCACAGATCTGGTTGAAAGTTCCCCGGTGACCGGGCCCATGGTTGACCACATTTGTGCCCCCGTGACCGCATCAGCTGGTGCCGAAATCGGTACACATCCATCGGATGCGAGACGGACGGGAGTCCCAGATCCCCACTCCCCCGGGAGTCAGGGAGCCGCATCCACCACCAAACATGTCCATTTCAACGACCCCTTGGAAGTGAGACGGGCCGAAGCCCCAGACTCCCACCCGACCTTGGGTCAGGAGTCCACATCCTCCAGTTCCACTCGCAACGTGAGCGACAGGCCATTGGCCCAGCAGGTCCAACAACAGCACATCACCGCCACCACTACAAACGCAGAACAAAACCCAGCATCGTCCGTGCAATGTTTTCCGACTGAGGCGCGCCTGAGACAGAAGCAGCGCCTTAAGGATATGAAGGAACTGGGGCAAAAGCCCGTAGAACGGCGTCAACATGTAGAGGACCACCACGATGATTGCGGCAGCAGTCTGGAAAGCCTAACCAGATTCCTGCCGGAGCCGCAGCAACCAGATCCCATGCATGCTGCCTTGCATGCGCATGCAGCCGACTTACCGTTGACCTGGCTACAGGGATGCTCTGGAAGCTCCGACCTCAAACGTCAATCTGAAGCATGCTTTATCGCACCCAATGTTGCAGCTGCTTTCAATGCGTTGAGTGCGTTGCCTCCCGGCACCTCTGAAGTCCTTGAGCTGAGTGGAGGCCCCAATGAAACAGCCAATTTCTCAGTGCGCAGGATCTTTCACTCAGGCGACATGTTTGACCTGACCACGCAAGCCTGTGTCACCAACAGGCTTGACCTCCAGATCATGGCGACATATGTGCGCGAGTGTAAGCCTGCCTTCTTGATACTTACTCCTTCAAGTGCCCCGTCTGCGGACTGCCAAACGTTTATGGAGTTCTGCGGCCATGTGGCAAAACGGCAAAGCGAGGACGGTCGACATTTCTTGGCCGAACAGATGTGTGACATTGGCCCTGAAGCATGGCAGACAATGGAGACCGAGCTCGCCACGCAGTGGCACCAAGTACATCTTTGTGATGAGCGCCCGTACCGCCGATTGATGGCGAACCACGGCGCTCTCCTAGTGTATGTCCCCATTTTTATCAGTGCAACTGACAGCAAAACCTGTTGGCCCGCAGCAATGAAGCGTGCCATTAGCGACGGACTGTGTCATGCTCAAGCGGCAACTACATTGCCCACATTTCGACCCTCACGACCAACGACCTTGAGAATGAAGTTGTACCCCTCCGTAGGATCAGGTCCTGGAGACTCCGATGCAGCCGCAGAAGTCCCACGCTCGGAATCAGAACCTTGGCGTTTGTGTCCGGGTTGTCGGGGCAGACAAGCAAGACATGACCCCCGTCACTCACGAGTGCGTGGCCAGTGCAAGTTCCCTGACGATGAACCGTATGTGTTTGAGTGCCCTGGATGCAAAGCCCACCGGCCAATCGATCACCCCACTCACACGCGTGGGCCAGATTGCCGTCTGCCAATAATTGAGGAAAGGCTTGGGGCCCGGAGGTCTGGACGTCACCCACGCCAACCCGCCAGGCGGGCTTCGGCAAGTGTGGCCCAAGACCGTCAAGCCCAGTTGCCTGATGGGTCCGATCTTGGAGCTGTTGAAGAGGCAGCTGCTGTTGAAAGGGAACGTGAAGCCCCTGTCCCATGCGAGGGTGGTGCGCCTTCCTCGTCATCCGACCCAGCAGCAGCTAGTCCAGATGCAGACGTTGAAGTACGAGCCCCTCCTGATCCCGCGAGTGCAAGCGATGGAGATGCACGTGTCCGTGCCCCGCGTGAAGAGAGGAGGCCACAAGATGCACAGGTGGGCACGCCGCATGCGTCAGATTGGACACGTAGAATGTGATCTGCTGTTTTATCGTCAGTTCATAACTTTCCACTGCATATGTCGAGCCACGCGTTGGCACTCCGCCACCGTGGTAAGTGCAAAGGAAGGCGAAGTACTGTTTGAAGCATTCACAACGTGCTGGGTAGGACAATTTGGCCCTCCCGAAATCCTGTACATGGATGGCGAAAGCGGAATGTGGCGCCCTGATATCGCGGACAGGATCCGCCGGTTGGGCTGCGACTTTAAACTGAGAGCACCTCAGCAGCATGCTCGGTACATCGAGCGTCGTGGGGCAGTGCTGAGAGCACAGCTGCATACGATGGAGGAACAGCTGGAAAGAGAAGGGATTGTCTACACATTCCCGGCGCTGCTGGCAGAAGCAGTGTTTGCCGGCAACTCCCTGACTCATGTCGGCGGCTCCACACCCTATCAAGCAGTGTATGGGCGACAACCGTGGATGCTACCACCTCTTGAGACCCCAGACCTTGGCGAACGTGACGATATGTCATCCGAAGGTGACAGACAGCGGGAACTCATCCGTCAAACAGCGCTGTCGGCTATGATATCGGCTACTGCAGCTTCCCGGCTAAGCAGAGCCGCGCACACTCGAACAGGACAAGACAGCCGTGACTTCAAGCCCGATGACTTGTGTGATGTCTACCGCAAACCAGTCAGCAAGGATGCTAGCGGATGGGTTGGACCGTACCGTGTAGTACGGTCTGAGCCGGGTCAGGTGGTGGTTAGGGTAAAAGGGTTTGATCGCACTTACAGGTCCCAAGATGTCAGGCATGCTTTGCTGTGCCTGATGGCAGAACAGCAGACTTCGAGTTGGCATGAATGCATGCAGATTCTGGAAGAAGCTTTGAGCCAGATGCTTCCTGGCCAATCTGCTTTGTACGGCTTTGCAACCAACAAAAATGGTGGCCACAGCTTGAGTGAGCAAGCACGGCGGCGACCCTACGTGTTGCAAGCATTGGATCATCTTGTGCTTAACTGCTGGAGACTTGAAGAAGTCATGTCTGTACGGCTTGCGCGCGGGGCAAAGGCGCTAGCAGCGGTGCCCGGTGCCAGCCACAGTACTGTGTTCTGGTGGTTTAATAGTGCCGACTCTGATGTCATGTTCGGTGTTGTGGATCACTCAAGGGTAGACCTAGCAGAGCTTATAGGCGCAGATTACAAATTCGCAAAGGTTGTCCAAGCCATCCACTGCACAGGACTTGACATCACACTTGCCGATGCGTGCGACGGCACCGGAGACTTAACGCATGAATCTCTCTGTGGCGACCTCCTGCCCGAGAGTGATGCTGAAGTTGAGCCTGACATCCACACCCCTGCTGGTACCCTCTCCACGATAGCGGAGGAAGAAGAAGAGTGGCAGAGTTATGCCGCTGGGTTGATGTTGGATGCGGAAGAGGGTGCCGCAGTACGCGAAGTGTTCTTTAACCACGAACTGCTAGAAGCAAGCGCCGAAAGCGACAACAGCTGTGATCTGCTTTATGTCCACCCGGCCTCTGAAGTCGTGGAGCCAAGTTGTAGTCCTGTAAGCCACTACTTAAGCTCTGGAATAGACCCTGAACTGTATGGCCGTCCAAATCAGGTAGATGAAGCAGGCAACAGCTGTGTAGAAATTTGGTTTGCTCGAGAATTTTCGAACGTCATTGGCGACAAAGATGAATTGGAGCCAGATGAGACTCGAGTAATGCAAATCTTTGCATCTGGTTTCCGCAACACCGTCATCAAGAGAGAAAGTGACTTGCTTACCCCAGCCGAAATGAAAACGTGTCAGGCCGAGGTTCAAGCTGCCATTTTGGAAGAACTTAAGATATGGCATCGTTACGGCTGTTTTAAGCGTGTACCAAAGGCTGGAGCAAGCAACATCATGGACTCTCGTTTTGTCGCAAAATGGAAGAAAACCGAAGACGAAAACAACCAACCAAAAAGAATCGTCCGCATGCGACTGGCGCTGCGTGGCTTTAAAGATATCCAAGCTGATGAGTTGGAGGCGTTTGCCGCCACGGCGTCACGACAGTCGCAGCGCATCTTATGCTCAGAGCTTGCATGCAGGCCTCACTGGAAATTCGTGTCTCTCGACGTTAACAAGGCTTTCCTCCAAGGCATGACCTATAAAGAGATACACGACCTTACTGGCGAGGCCGAGCGCAAAGTTCATTTCACGCTTCCCCCTGAAGCAGCAGTTCACTTAAGAAAGCTTGAGGGGTACCATGATTTTGATGAACGCCGAGAGGTGCTGAAGTGCATTAAGCCCGGCACGGGCTGTAAAGATGCACCACGAGCGTTCAGCCTTAAACTGGCAAAATGCACCAGGTCTTCTAAAGTACAACTCAAGCCGTCCATGTTTGATTCTGAACTTGAGCTGAAACATGTCAAAGGAGAACTGGTGCTCATGGTGGCGAAGCATGTTGATGATTTGAAAGTTGCCGGTGAACCCCGCGAGGTAGACAACTTGATTCAGCAGTTGCAGATTGAGTTTGGTAAGTTGACACTGCATGAGGACGTGTTTACCAACTGCGGGCTTAGACACACCAGGTTGTCAGATGGCTCTGTGCAACTAGATCAGGACGAATATATAGACGCGATGAAACCCATCCGACACCCTGAACTAACAGGAAGGGAAAGCAACGCAGCATGCACCCAAGAAGTCCACGGCATGTTTCAGAGCCTTTTAGGCGCGGTTGCGTATGCATTGCTTTCCCAGTCTTGGGCCTCAGTGTTCGTGATTGCCCTCCAGAGGAGGACATCCAATCCTCAGAACATTCACGTGAGGCGTTTAAACATGTTGTTAGCAGCTATGCAGCGGTTGAAGGCTAAAGTCAAGTTTCCATCCATGCAGTGCTGTCGCAAGCTGCTAATCTTTCCGGATGCGTCTTTTGATAAGGAATCCGAATCCAAAGGGTACGGGATGCGAGGTAGCGTGTACTTGAGGCTGGGTCTGAAAGATGGTCACGACGTCTGCCATTTGATAGACGCACAATCACAGTCTTTGAAGCTTGTTACTCGTTCCACGTTTGCGTCTGAAACGCTGGCAGCAGTAGGGACCACGGACGGACGGACTCACCCCCCTGATGTACACATTCGAAGAGATGATTCGAGGAGTCGT